GTAAATTACCTAAAAGTCCAAAGAAAAAACAAATATCAGAAATAATAATAGATTATGAAAAATATACACAAATAGAGTACGTACATTATGAATTAGAAAGCAATGATAGTATATATCAATTATCGGAAAATGAAATGAAAAATAATCCAGTAATAGAATCAGATAATGAATACGATATCAATTATACAAATAATAACTAAAGAAAAATATTAAGATGAAGAATCGGCAGAACAAAAAATAATATTTGATAATAATATATTTGAACAAATAAAAGGAAAAGAATTAGACCTAAGCGTAGCAAAAATATTCGAAATACCAACAATAAGAAACTGGTTTAAACGACAAAAAGAAGAATATTATGTAGTAAGTCAAAGAGAACATATATAGATTGCAAATACACTAAAGGAAAGGCCAAAATACTAATAATAAATAAACGAATAATAAATAAAGAAATACAAGATATTAAGGCTAAAACTCCAATTAAATATGTACATTTAGGAGGAACAGAAATACTAATAAAAGCATGTTTTAGAGAAGGAATATATACACCCATAGAAATATACTTAGCAAATGATAGAATTATACAACCCATAGAAAAAAGTATAATAAGTGCGGTAAAAGGTAACCTCATATACCAAAAATTTAAATTTATAATAAGTGATAATTACTCAGTAGCAATAAATGACAGAAATATAGATAAATCGTTAGTATTATATTGGAGAATGTCAGGAATAGAACTAGCCCCGGTAAGTAAAATATTTACAGCTAGATGTAAAAACTTATATGTTTTAACGATAAAACATAAAATAACAACAAAAATAAAATAAATAAAATAAAAATAGAAGATCCTTTTGAAAGAATAGTCACAGTCATAGACAAGAATGACTATAGTTATAATGAAATTGACATAGAAGAAGATTTAAAAATAGTAAAAGAAATATTAAGTCATCAAAAAGAATAAACATGAACTGTGAAATACCACAAATCTCATAAAAAATGAGTACCTCAAGAAGAATAGATAAAACTCTACAAAAATCAATGGAAGAAGAAATAAAACCACATCACTACTACATAACGGGAATAATGGAACAACGAAAATATTTAATATTAATAGATACAGGACGAGAAGAAAAACTATATTACAAGAGAATTACTGACGGAAGATGAAATAATAACTATTGAACAATCATGCCCCGAACTACCAAAAGCATTAATGTATACCGAAGAAACTACAAAAAATGAAATAATCATTGGAGGAGTACCAATAGTGATAAAATTCAAAATATATCAAGGAGATGAAAATATCATTTTAGGAATAAAATGGCTAGAATAAGTAAAATCATATAATCTAGAAGACAAACAGTTAACAATAAATTATGAAAATAAAAGAGTAATAATAAAAAGGACTTTAGTATAATAAAAATATGAAAATATATATACTTGCAAAGATAATAATAGACGGATATTACAACCGATATTATACACCAATGATAGATATGGGAGCAGAAACTAATATATGTAAATACAATTGTTTACCAGAAGATAAGTGGAAAAAATTAAAAACACCGATAGTAGTAACATGATTTAATAATGAAGATTTAATAATGAAGGAAGCATGATCACATATAAGGCAAAAAATATAAAAATACAAATATGAATAAGATATTAACTATAGAAGAAATATATAACTTTGAATTAACTACAAGAGATATGCTATTAGGAATGCCATTTTTAGAAAAATTATACCCACATATAATAACAAAAACACACTAGTGGTTCATGACACCGTGTAAACAAAAAATAAGAGCAAAAAGAGTAAATAATAAAAAACGAAAAACAACAGAATGAATAAAAGGAAGTGAAAAAATTACACAAAAATTAGAAAATATAAAAGAAGAAGACCCTAAAATAGAATTAATTATATTCTCTATAGATAAAGTAAAAATAATTCAAGATAAGTTAGAATTATTATATAGTGAGGATCCTCTACAAGGATGGGAGAAACATAAAACAAAAGTAAAAATTGAGTTAATTGATAATAATAGTATGATAACCCAAAAATCATTAAAGTATAATTTTAATGATTTAACCGAATTTAAGATGCATATAAATGAATTACTAGAAAAAGAATATATACAAGAAAGCAATAGTAAGCACACAAGCTCGACATTTATCGTAAATAAACATAGTGAACAAAAAAGACGAAAAAGCAGAATGGTTATTGATTATAGAAATTTAAATGCAAAAACCAAAACATATAATTATCCGATACCAAATAAAATACTAAAGATAAGACAAATACAAGGATATAATTATTTTAGCAAATTTGATTGTAAATCAGGATTTTATCACTTAAAACTAGAAGAAGAATCTAAAAAACTAACAGCATTCACTGTACCACAAGGATTTTATGAATGAAATGTATTACCATTTGGATATAAAAACGCACCATGTAGATCAACATTTTATGGACAATTACTTTAAACAAATAGAAAATTGTGTAGTGTACATTGATGATATATTATTATATTCCAAAACACAAGATGAACATATAAAGATTATTAGAAAAATTTATACACATCATAGAATATTCAGGTATAAGTCTAAGTAAAAAGAAAGCAGATTTAAATGAAAAATCAAATAGAATTCTTAGGAATACAAATTTGATAAAAACGGAATAAAAATGCAAACACATATAGTACAAAAAATAATTAACTCAAATGAACAGCTAGACACAAAAAAAATTACAATCGTTCTTAGGACTAGTAAATCAAGTAAGAGAATACATACCAAAATTAGCAGAGAATTTAAAACAATTACAACAAAAATTAAAGAAAGATATAGAATATCAGTTTGATAAAAAAAACCAAATACAAATACAAAAGGTAAAATTATTAAGTTAAATAAAAAGGCCAACAGGCCACAAAAATTTGATTAAAAAAAAAAAAAAAAGGTAAATTATTATGTAAAAATACCTAAACTATATTTTCCGGATGAAAACAAAAAATTTACTTATCTATAGAATCAGATGCGAGTGAAAAAAGTTATGGAGGAGTATTAAAATACAGATATGATGGCAATACAATAGAACATCATGTAGGTTAATTTAGGAACATTTAATAATACAGAAATAAAATGGGAAATAAATAGAAAAGCATTATATTCAGTGTATAAGTTTATTATCATTTGAACCATATATTGTATATAACGAATTTATTATAAGAACAGATTCGGTAACAACAAAAGAAATAAGGAGATTGGTATTAAATATATTAAATTTTACATTTACAATTGAAGTAATAAAAATTAATAAGAATATTATTGCAAATTACCTATCACGACAAAGCTACTCAGACTGAGACTGAGGAAGAAGATACAATTGAAAAGATACTCAAAGCTATTACTACACTTTGTACAAAAGTGGATAGTATGGACAACGAGATACAAAAGCTAAAGACTAATGGAGATAATCTGAAGTCTAAAGCTAGTCAGCAGCATGACTATAAAAATGCGGAGCTACGTCGATCGAAAGACGGGAAAAACCCAGAGCTAAAAGGAGACGATGGGAAACTCCATAAAACCCATAATGTTTGTTTAAATACAGCTGCAGGTACAAGCAAACAAGTTAGCGATAAACAACATAAAAATGCAAACTTAAACCAGCTATTCGCAAAACCATTTACCCAAAGGACACCTAGACATATATGTCCATAGAACCACAAACATCTACATACGCATATAGTTTGCAAAACCAAAATGAGAAAAAAACATATAACTATATCACACGAACCTATATCGAAAATATACACAAAATCCAAACTTATTTAAACTTTAACCCCAGATCAACTACAAAAGAACCAAACCAGAATTATTTGACACAAAAGTTACAAAGATATAACAAGTTAATTGCACAGCAAAAAACTAACGCTAATTTAGTAAGAACATGTTACAACTACAGACTGTTAAATACCGAATACACATACGACGGAGAAGAAGTTAGTGGAATACCAGAACTACACAAGGCATTCGTCACATACAAAAGATAACACAAAAGGAAATTTATTTTATATAAAATTCTATACAGCACCAGCGGAGATATTATACGAGGAAATAAAACCTCCAATATACCATCAAAATAGGACTAACTAAAGAAATGATTATACCCGAGGACATCGGACAACAAGACTCTATATGCAAAATAGAGATACCAAGTTTTTATGCCAACAAAAAAATAATTGGTATATCAACTATCATACAGGAGCTAGCAAATAATTATTTAAACGGAAACGCTATATGAAGCTACTATGCAAGAGATCAGCTAATGATTTATTCCTATTCAAGGGAGCTAAGGAAAGCAGATATGGATGAAGTCCAAAGATGGATTTTTTCATTACTTAAGCCAGAAGAACGACCTACGACGAGAGCACTAAAAGCAGGATTTATTTCGACAGAGTTATTAACCAGATATTGCATTAAATTAATTGGACATAAATATCCTGATCACATATGTTCGAAATGTAACGGTGAAGATAACATAATTCCAGATGTCGATTTAGAGTAAAAGAAGATGATGAAGATAAGACGAAGGAGCAAAAAAAATAAAGTAAATAACGTAGTCAAAAATATGTGTAGATAAGATGTAAATTAGTCAAGTATGCATTATTATGCATGTGCATATTAAAGTAAGTAGATAGGAATAGTGGACAAGTGTAAAGTAAGGTATGGTGTGGAAGTAGGTGTACTGGGCAAGTGTAAGGGATGGTAGGGGGTGTGATTTATTAGGTGACAAGTGTTAAAGTAAATAGTAGTACATTATTGTAGTGTAATAGTAGTATTGTAGTGTATGTAGTATGAAAATCCTTTCTATTATAAAGAACGGATATGTAACTTAAAAATGGAGGCAACGCCTAAATAAAAATCCTCTCCTTTCAAAAACTCTCTTAAGATACTAAATACTTAAAAGTTAATGGATAAATCTGAAATCCAATCAAATATTTCAGATAGCATGGCTAAGCTCGCAAAGGTATATACGGAACTAATTTCATATATTCCTGAATATCATATATATGATTGAATAAATTTATGTTAGTTATTATGTATTAGAATTATTTGAATCATGATTTCTAGTTTATTAGCACACTGAAAACAGGGAGAAAACTTCTATACTATGTCATCCTAATGTTGAAACCGGTAGGCGAGGAAGCCGTTTAGGAGAGTAAACAAAGTTGGGGCGCTGATAAGAAGGAAGTATCCACTAAAGTATGATGCTAGTAGTGACAGGAAAACATGATAAAGATAATCTAGTTCATAATGATCTAATATGAATTTAATCAATTATGAATATGATAGGAATGAATAATTTGAAATAAAAAATCTGCATGATAAAGAACATGACTACTTACGTTCATAATGAAATGATAAAAAACTACGAAACTTTAATATTATATATACTTAAAGATATAAAAATAATTGAATTAAGAAGAATCATATGAGAAAAAATATTTAATGATAATGAATCAGAAGATATAATGAACCAACAATGATATGATATAGACTTACATGATTTAGACTATGAAAGAATAGAATGGTACGATTTAGAAATAAATTCAGACTAAAATGAACTACGAATGTTTACAATATTGGACAGAATCTATGGAGGCGCCGTGCCCCGAGGCCCTACCCCCCCCCCCCCCCGCCTCGAGGCACCGTGCCCCCCTCCCCACCTGAAAATTTTGGATTGGGGGGAAGCAGAGAATCGAAAAAAAGAAAAAGAAACCCCCCCGCCTCAAGGCACCGTGCCCCGAGGCCCTACCCCTCCCCCTCCCACCGCCTAGAGGCACCGTGCCCCGAGGCCCTACCCCCTCCCCCTCCCACCGCCTAGAGGCACCGTGCCCCGAGGCCCTACCCCCTCCCCCTCCCACCGCCCCGAGGCCCTACCCCCTCCCCCTCCCACCGCCTCGAGGCACCGTGCCCCGAGGCCCTACCCCCTCCCCCTCCCCCCGCCTCGAGGCACCGTGCCCCGAGGCCCTACCCCCTCCCCTCCCCCTCCCCCCGCCTCGAGGCACCGTGCCCCGAGGCCCTACCCCCTCCCCTCCCCCTCCCCCCGCCTCGAGGCACCATGCCCCGAGGCCCTACCCCTTCCCCCCCCCCCTCCCCGCCTCGAGGCCCCGAGGACCCGAGGCCCTACCCCTTCCCCTCCCCCCTCCCCGCCTCGAGGCCCCGAGGCCCTACCCTCCCCCCCCTCCCCGCCTCGAGGCCCCGAGGCCCTACCCCCCCCCCTTCCCCGCCTCGAGGCCCCGCGGCCCTACCCCCCCCCCCCCCCCCCTCGAGGCCCCGAGGACCCGAGGCCCTACCCCCCCGCCTCGAGGCCTCGAGGGCAGCCTCGGGGCCCCGAGGCCCTACCCCCCCCCCCCCTCCCCGCCTCGAGGCCTCGAGGCCCTACCCCCCCCTCCTCTCACATGTACAAACCAAGTCTTAGTAGTGTCTTGAGGATCGGTACGGAGACGTCTGTACTTATCTTCGAGAGGCTATGAAGACTGTTAGGAAAGACTTCTTTTTTTTATTCCGTTCTTATCGTGCGAGGTTGTTATCGTGGGTGCTGAGTATCGCGTGTTGTTTTTGGCAGATGCCGAGGGCTAGAGCTACCAGAGTTAGGGGGGAGGCAGCCCCCGAGGTCAGAGTTGAGGCCCCAACTAGGGGTAGAGGTCGGGCTAGAGGCCGAGGACGTGGTCGAGGCCGTGCCAGAGGAGCGGCACCTGCCCGAGGCTGAGGTAGAGAGCCTTCACCTGAACCACAGATTGGAGTTGCTGCAGAGCAGGCTCCTGCGGGACATGCACCCCCAGTTCATGATGACAGACTCGACAGGATATTTGGGTTATTGGAGCGTCTTACTCAGGGTGCAGCAGGTATAATAGCGGGGTTACAAGCTGGGGTAGGGGCACAGGCCCCTGGTTATCAGCATCAGATTCCAGTGGTTCCAGAGCCGGTGGTTCAGCCACCACAGGTTCCAGCACCGGTTGTAGGGGTACCGGCGGCCCTTGAGGTGGCCTTGGCAGATGATGACCAGGTCTGCTATGAGCGGTTTCAGAAAATGAAACCACCTCAGTTTCATGGTGCTAAGACTGATGATGCTCACGAGTTTTTGACCTTGAGTCGAGAGATGTTGGCGGCGATACGCATGTTAGATGAGAGGGGCGTCCGATTTGTGTCCCTTCAGTTACGCGGTGTCGCTAGGGAGTGGCTGAGGACCTTCATGAGTTCGAGACCAGCGGGATCTCCTCCCATGGAGTGGAGTGAGTTTGCTAGTGCTTTCGAGGGTCGTTTCATCCCTTGGAGTGTACAAGAGGAGAGCCGTATGAGGTTTGAGAGTTTGGTGCAGGGTAGCATGTCAGTCACAGATTACGAGGCTCGATTCTGTCAGTTGTCAAGACATGCCTCTGCTTTGATTTTAGGTGAGCCTGAGCGGATTCGCAGATTTGTCAGGGGTTTGACTCCCACTATCCGTAGTTATGTGTTTAGATCATCTCGAGAGGGTGCTTCCTTCCAGACTATAGTGAGTGCAGCCAGAGAGGCTGAGTTGCTTGAGCAGGATGATTTTGGTGGGCCCAAGAGGGTCCGTACAGGTGGTCAGTATTCGGGTACCTCGTCAGGAGGTAGGGGCCCACACAGGGGAGGCGGGTCCTTCCTGCGTCAGAGGCCAGTACATGCTTCATTACCAGCTATCGAGGGTGGGCCAGCAGCTCGGGGTCTTTCAGGTTCGGGTCGAGGTGGTTATAGCATTACTTCGGGTTCTCCACAGTCAGGATCCACACCGAGGTCTTGTTATGGTTGCGGTGATCCAGGCCACTTGATTCGTCAGTGTCCACTTCAGACTCAGTCTGGACCACACCGTACTGTCTCCGCGGTCCCAGAGAGAGATTCAGCACCTCCAGCTAGAGGTCGGGGTCGGGGACCAGCATCTGGTAGAGGCGGACGAGCTTCGGGTAGAGGTGCTAGTGGCGCCTCAGGTTCACAGAGTGGGGGCAGAGGTGCCCAATGTTATGCTTTTCCTGGGAGGCCCGAGGCTGAGGCTTATGATGCAGTTATCACAGGTATCATCTCAGTTTGTCATCGGCCTGCTTCCGTGCTATTTGATCCTGGTTCTACATTCTCATATGTGTCTACATATTTTGCTTCCGGCCTTGAGTTGACTTGTGATCGTATGTCTGTGCCTATTAGAGTCTCTACACCCGTAGGTGAACCCTTAGTGGTGAATCGAGTGTATCGATCTTGTCTTGTTGTCTTATCGGGGTATGAGACCTGGGTGGATATGATTCTTCTTGATATGTTAGACTTTGATGTCATATTGGGTATGGACTGGCTTTCCCCCTATCATGCGCTTCTTGATTGTTATGCTAAGACTGTCACCTTAGCTATTCCGGGTATTCCTAGAGTGAAGTGGAGAGGGACTAGTGGTTCGTATCCCAACAGGGTCATATCTCATATTCGGGCTCAGAGGATGATTGACCGGGGTTGTTTATCTTATTTGGCCTTTATTCGGGATGTTGGAGCTGAGTCACCGGCCATGGAGTCTATTCCGGTGGTTCAGGAGTTCCCTGATGTGTTTCCCGAGGATCTACCTGGTGTTCCTCCTGTTCGTGATATTGACTTCTCTATCGACTTGGAGCCGGGCACCAAGCCCATATCTATTCCACCTTATCGTATGGCTCCAGCTGAGTTGAAGGAGTTGAAGGATCAGAATCAGGACTTATTGAGTAAAGGATTCATACGCCCTAGTGTGTCGTCTTGGGGTGCACCGGTCTTATTTGTGAAGAAGAAAGATGGGTCGATGAGGATGTGTATTGACTATAGACAGTTGAACAAGGTCACGGTGAAGAACAAATATCCCCTTCCCCGTATTGATGACTTGTTTGATCAGCTTCAGGGAGCAGCCTTGTTCTCTAAGATCGACTTGAGATCTGGGTATCATCAGTTGAGGATTAAGCCTTCAGATGTGGCGAAGACAGCTTTTCGCACACGATATGGTCATTATGAGTTTTTGGTGATGTCATTTGGGCTCACCAATGCCCCTGCGACGTTCATGGAGTTGATGAATGGAGTGTTTCGCCCATACTTGGATTCTTTCGTAATTGTGTTTATTGATGACATCTTGGTATATTCCAAGACCGAGGCGGATCATGTTTGTCATTTGAGGGCCGTGCTACAGAAGTTGAGAGATGAGAAATTGTATGCTAAATTGTCTAAGTGTGAGTTTTGGCTTGAGTCAGTGGCTTTCCTAGGGCACGTGGTGTCTAAGGATGGAGTTAGGGTTGATCCGGCCAAGATTGAGGCAGTTCAGGGTTGGACTAGACCTACATCACCTACTGAGATTCGGAGTTTTGTTGGCTTGGCGGGTTACTATCGGCGTTTTGTTCAGGGATTCTCTACTATAGCTGCGCCGTTGACCAGATTGACTCAGCAGACGGTTCCTTTTCATTGGTCACCCGAGTGTGAGGCGAGCTTCCAAAGGCTCAAATCCCTATTGACTTCAGCACCTGTCTTGACTTTGCCAGAGGAGGGTGTTGGATTTACTGTTTATTGTGACGCTTCGGGTGTTGGACTTGGAGGTGTTTTGATGCAGAAGGGTAAGGTTGTAGCATATGCCTCTAGACAGCTGAAGGCACACGAGAGGAATTACCCAACTCATGATTTGGAGTTGGCGGCTGTGGTATTTGTGCTTAAGTTGTGGAGACATTACCTATATGGTGTTCATTGCGAGGTATTTACTGATCATAGGAGCCTACAGTACATATTCACTCAGCGGGATCTGAACTTGAGACAGCGTAGGTGGCTTGAGTTGCTCAAGGACTACGACATGACCATTTTGTATCACCCCGGGAAGGCCAATGTGGTGGCCGATGCCTTGAGTAGGAAGACTTCTAGTATGGGGAGTCTTGCCGCGATCAGTGTTGAGAGGCGGCCTTTGGTTCGGGATGTTCAGAGGTTATTTGACTGTATGGTGAGATTTCGGGTTTCTGAGGAGAGTAGAGGTGTGTTTGCCTTCATTGAAGCCCGTTCATCTTTGATGGAGCAGATTAGAGAGCATCAGTATGAGGATGGGAAGTTATGTCTTATCCGGGACAAGGTGATGAGTGGTGAAGCCAAGAAGGCTAAGATTGACTCCGAGGGTGTATTGAGGATTGAGGGCCGGATATGTGTGCCCAAGGTTGGTGATTTGATCAGATTGATTCTTGAGGAGGCTCATTATTCTAGGTATTCTATTCATCCCGGAGCAGCGAAGATGTATCATGATCTTAGTCAACACTATTGGTGGTGTGGGATGAAGAGGGATATTGCAGAGTTTGTGGCTAGGTGCTTGACATGTCAGCAGGTCAAGTGCGAGCACCAGAAGCCTGGTGGTGTGACGCAGAGGATGCCCATTCCTACTTGGAAGTGGGAGAGGATTGCTATGGACTTCGTAGTTGGATTGCCTACCACCGTGGGTGGTTATGATTCTATATGGGTGGTCGTCGACAGATTGACCAAGTCTGCTCATTTCATCCCGGTCCGAGTGAGGTATACAGCGGAGAAGTTGGCTCAGATTTATATTAGTCAGATTGTACGGTTATACGGAGTGCCGGTGTCCATTGTGTCTGACAGGGGTTCAGTATTCACTTCTCATTTCTGGAGAGCATTACAGCATGATTTGGGCACTAGACTCGACATGAGCACAGCTTTTCACCCTCAGACTGACGGTCAGTCTGAGAGGACTATTCAGGTGTTGGAGGACATGCTTCGGGCTTGCGTGATCGACTTTGGTACTAGATGGGATCAACACTTGCCATTGACAGAGTTCGCCTACAACAACAGTTATCATTCTAGCATTGGGATGGCACCTTTTGAGGCACTGTATGGTAGGCGGTGTAGATCACCTATTGGATGGTTTGATTCAGCGGAGGTGGACTCCCTTGGTACTGATATTCTTAGAGAGGATATGGAGCGTGTTCGTGTGATTCAGAGTAGGCTCTTGATTGTCCAGAGTAGGCAGAAGAGCTATGCTGACAGGAGGGTTCGACCCTTAGAGTTCATGGTGGGTGATCGAGTTTGTCTTCGGGTATCGCCATGAAGGGTGTGATGAGATTTGGGAAGAAGGGCAAGCTCAGCCCTAGGTTCATTGGCCCATATGAGATTTTGGAGAGGATGGGAGAGGTGGCTTACAAGTTAGCCTTGCCACCTAGTTTGACAGCCGTGCATCCAGTTTTCCATGTTTCTATGCTCCGGAAGTATGTTCCGGATGAGTCTTGTTGACACCCAATTTTGACCCTCCCCGATAATAATAAATTTCTGAGTTTCTTAATTTTCAAATGATTTAAAATAATTGACTTTATAAAATTTAAAAAAATTTTCAAGTTAGTTTAAATGGTTTGTCACTTTTATAATTTTTTAAATAATATGTGTATACTTTTGAACTTTTTAAATATTCAAAAATCGTCTCAAAATATTTTGTTTAATTAAATATTTGGTTAGTTTTTTTTTAGTAGTTTGGAATTTTGAGTTAATAGTTAGTTTATAATTAAGTTAATTATTATATAATTATGTGTCTAATTAGTATATTTTATGAAGGTTCGAAAATTGTCTCAAAAAGATTTTAGCTTTATTTAAACATTTGGTTATTTAGTCGTTTATATTGTTAAATTAATTAGTCTATAATTAAATTAATTATTTTATTTCGTTAAGATTAAGAAACTCGTTAATTAATTAATATTAATTCGTCTTATTTAATTATTAGCCAAATTTATTAAATTTGATCAAGTTGGCTAATTCTTAAATTTAAATTGCCTACCACAACAATTCCTAACAATACAATAATACCAACCGACCCAGCCCCACTTATTAATTCTCCTAACCCATCAGCCGCCCACCAAAACATTACCCCTGGCCCACATATATGTCCAATTCAATACAACAACACTACCAACATTACAACAATAATAAAATAATAACAACAATACAAGCAGCCCCACCGACCCAACCAATTAATCCCTAACCCGGCCCACCTTTGGCTTCACACAAAAGAACCCAGCATCACAACGTGCAATTCCCCAGAAACGGCGATAGACGGCAGCTTCACGGCGTCTTCACGATTCCAAGCGGCGTCTTCACGATTCCAAGCGGCGTCCATTTTTCGTCAAACACGCGGAAAGCAGCGAAGAGCAGAGGCAGTACACTGCCTCTTATTGTCTTCTTCCTCCCGTCCCTATCCACATTTAATATCGCAGCAGCAACGAGCAAGCACGCGATTCCTCTTTCGGAATGGGGTGATTTTTCGGAGAAAAAGTTGTCTCCCTAAAATGGTGAAAGGTTTTTTTGAAGTTTGAATTTATTAGACCTTGATTCCCATCAGGATTGGATTTTTTTTCCCCCCATTTTCGTACCCTAAAGATCCCATATATATTTTCCCTTTTATTCACTGTAAAAATGGAGAAGATTTTTTTAGTGGCAAAAAAATTTGGAGTCAAGGCAGAGAGAGTAGTTCAAGCAATTAGCCACAAAATACATAAAAAATACATTCGAAAAAAAAGAGGAGGGTAAACTAGGGCCTTTCGTTTGTTGTTCCGTTCGTGATTGCGTGGTGGGATTTACCGTCGCTTCCTTACTCGTCATTGTCCTAGTTCCCTGCACTCTAAAAGGTAATACACCTGTTGATTCAAGCATTCTCTGTTCTTAATGTGTCGGTGACTGATTTCTTTTTAACTGTATGAGCTTCCCAAATGTTGGTGTTCCGGGAGTACTTCAGTTTATTTGTTGGTTTTAAAGCGACATCCTAACTTCTCTTATTTTGTTTTTGTCCTGAGCGTGACCTGAATACGGGCGTATAGATGTTGGGAGATTGTTTCGTTGGTTGCTGATTTTTATCTTCCTTGTCGTCTAAATAAGTCATGGTCGTTTTCGAAATATCATATTTGTCTTAGTTTATGTCTATTTGTTATGAACCTGTTGAAAAATAATCAGTGCTCAACCTCGTGTTACCCTTTCTCATTTTTAATATTTTCCTCATCTTTCTCGTTCCAGCCTGATGTCCATAGTTGAGCTTTAGTTTTGTTTGCTATTGTTTGTTGTTGAGTTCCGGATGATTTGATATGATGTGTCTTTCTGTAAGCTATGTCAGTGTAGTCGGATTCTTCTATTCAAATCTATATTTCTTTGTTTTCGATGTCTTAAGACGTCAAAATGGACACTCATTTTGCTAATGTTGATGGTATGAGCTATTTCTTCTTCAAATAAAAGATGATTTCTCAAACTGTCTAATATGGAAATTGGATGATATATTACGTATTGTTTGAGATTAAGTTGCGGTAGCTCTCCCTTTCTTGTTATATTTGTTTGGTTTTGGCATCTCAAACTAGCGTGTCAGTATTCATGGCTATTCGTTTGTCCTAGAAGTCTAGTTTTCGGTTTAATGGTATATTTTGGCCAAAATATAGTTGTTTAGCTTTACTATTTGCCATGTTTCGGTGTTAGTGTATGATAGTATCATCCTATAAGGATATTATTTCTTTCTATTTGTGTTTATATTTACACTATATTTTGCTATTATGTATTCCCCTGTTAAGACTTGGCAATGTTAGTTCTAGCTAGTCCCCTTAGGAAAATTTTGGAAGAATGTGGTATATGTTAACCAATTCTTATTTTTTATTTGGTGTTTATAACCTCTCTAGTTATCACTTTTTCTTTGTTGTGCTATTCCATGTTGGGGATATTATGATTTATGCTTTGTTAGTTCCTATGTTTGGACAAATATGTATATTGTTCCTATTTCCTCTAATCACTGAAGAGTACTGTAATGAACAATTTTATCTTTGTTTCTCCATCTTTGTCATTTTGTGTGTGTGTCATTAGTCAGCATAATTATTTAAGTGCTATTGTGTTCTCTTTATTTTTCTTTTAAAATTATTGTTGTCCATGTGCCACTGTATGATTCTCTCGAAATGGGATTATGTGTTAATTTGCACTTTCTCGGGTAAAACAATTCATATATATGTGCAACTGTTAATGTTGCAATTCGCTCATTAATCTCGTCATCGTTAATTTGGTTCATTTGATTTTTTGGGGTTGTATGTTTCGGTCTAATTTGGATTTCTTGAGTGACTTTTCATTGTAATTAAATTCCGTCTCATCGAATTATGTCTCATTTGTTTTGTTATTTCGAATACTAATGTTGCCTCTTTTATTTGTTGTATGAATCCCTTCCGAGTCCGTGGTGGACTCCTTTCCTTGCATTTCCCTATTGGGCCCTGGAGGCCCAATTCCACCTTTATCAAGTCAGCTATAAAAGTCGATGAACAGGTCCCGAAGTTGAAAGAAGCAACAGATCGAGAAGTTGAAAAGATTGGGCCCACTCTTAGTTCAAATTGTATTTTGTTACTTTTGGGCCTAAGCCCATTTATCTATTATCTTCCTAGAATTTAGGACAGGTGAAATTGGGCTTAAGGCCCAAATAATATTTTTATTTTTATGTTAGTTTAGGACAGGCGCAGATGACTCAAATGAGCCAAAGGCCCAAAACGAAAATGGGCCCAAATACTGGTCCAGGCGGACAGAAACCAGATTTGGGTCCAACTCTCTCTCCCTCTTTATTCTTATTGTGTTTGTGTGCTTGTTAACATTTGCCGCTAATCTTAAGGTCGAAAATTCAAATCCCCGAAAGACACCCATTTTGAATTAATCACTTAATCTAGTGTTTCATCTTTACTTGACTTAAAAAATAAATAAGTGAATGAATAAGCTTACAAAACATTTCACTTAGATAGTATTTCAACATTTTTCTTTTTCCCTTTTAAAATAGTTTCGACTACAAAATAGTTCAATTTTACAAGACGAGTTAAGTTAAAATTATTTTAGCCAAATAGTTAATTGTCGGATAACCACATTAGTGGACATTCTAGGTGCTTTTAAAACCTTCCTAGACTGTTAATAAGAACCTCGAACCCCCTTAATAGTTTTCAATAGATTTACTGTTTTAGTCTTTTGAAAACAATAGTTTTCTTGATTTTTCTTAAAAATTAAGTGGCGACTCTTAAACCAGTCTAAAATATATTTTCCAAATAAAACAAGTCTCACGTGATTTCGGTTGAGTCCAGATTTGACATTTGAGGAGGAGCTTATAGCTATTTTGGACAGACAGGTTCGCAAGCTCCGACCAAGGACATCGTTTCAGTGAAGGTTCAGTGGAGGCATCGATCAGATAGGGAGGACTTGGGAGTCCGAGGATGATATGCGGGTCCGATATCCCCAGCTTTTCGAGGCTTCAGGTACTTTCTTTTACTTTATGTTCGAGGACGAACATGGTTTTTAGTGGTGAATGATGTAATGACCCGAAAGGTCATTTTGGTAATTTTTCGTGGAAATGACTATTTTGCCCTTTCGGTAGTTGCCCCGAGTCCCATGTTTTGTGGTTGTAAAGTTGGTTTGAGGAAAAGTTGGTAAAAAGTTGAGTTTTTGAGAAGTTGAGTTTTTATGAGTTAAAGTTGGTTAAAAAGTGCTTTTTCGAGTCATTTGGAGTTTCGGGACTCGGATCGGATTTCCGTCGATTCCGGCAGTTTTAGAATGTCGAAACGGGTCTGTGTGAAGTTACGGAGTTGAATTTGGAGTTGAAACGAAGAATTGAGGTCCTAAGTTGCTAAAGTTGTGAAATTTTGATAAAGAGTTGACTTTGGTCAACATATGAGGTTCCGAGGCTCAGATTGAAATTCCGAGAGTACCGTTGGTTTCGGGAGGCGATTCTAAGTCTAGAATGAGTCTTGGTTGAATTTTTAGACGCTCCGTTTGAGTTTCGAATTTTTTTGGCGTTAAACTAGTTTCTTGGCATCTTATTGAATTTCGGGTCAAGGAGTCCTCGAATTCAAATTCCGACGGTTCCATTGAGTCCGGAACGTCGAATTTAGTGGGGGTACATATTTAGTTTGTGTGCACGAGATTCCGAACGAATCCCGAGGGTCCAACGGGGACTTAAACTTTGGTGTTATTGTGTGTTTCAGCTGCAACAGCAGTCCTTTTTTTAATCAAAAAACAGTAGCCATTTTCCCCCAACTTGAAAAATACCCATTTCTCCATTTTTAGACTTTG